AGTCGACTTCTTCCAGACCTTCTCCCCCACCCCGAAGATGACCACTCTTTGGGTACTGCTGCACGTTGCCGCTCAGCGTGACTACGAGCTTCACTCTCTTGACTTCAGCGCAGCCTTCTTACAGGGCAGCCTGCACGAGGAGATCTGGCTGCGCCGCCCACCTGGCTTCACTGGTTCGTTCCCTCCTGGTACCCAGTGGAGCCTCCGGCGGCCAGTCTACGGTCTCCACCAGGCGCCGTGTGAGTGGCACGACACACTAAGGACGACACTTGCGGCTCTTGGGTTTGCTCCGTCGACTGCTGACCCGTCGCTGTTTCTGCGCACCGACACTTCGCTGCCGCCGTTCTACATCCTCGTGTACGTCGACGACTTGGTCTTTGCCACTGCTGACACTGAGGCTCTCGCTCTGGTGAAGTCGGAGCTGCAGAAGAGACACACGTGCACAGACCTGGGTGAGCTGCGCAGCTACCTTGGCTTGCAGATCACCCGGGACAGAGCACGCCGCACCATCACACTGACTCAGTCACATATGGTGCAGCAGGTCCTTCAGCGCTTCAACTTCACCTGGTCCTCGGCACAGGCCACTCCTCTGGCGACAGGTCACTCGCTCTCAGCTCCACCTTTGGACGAGTCCGTAGAGCCAAGTGGTCCTTACCCAGAGCTAGTGGGCTGCCTCATGTACCTGATGACCTGCACTCGTCCTGACCTTGCGTACCCTCTTGGCCTTTTGGCTCGCTACATGGCTCCTGGTCGGCACCGAAAGGTGCACATGGATGCTGCTAGGAGGGTACTACGCTACTTGTGCAGTACATCGGGCATGGGGCTCGTGCTTGGAGGACGGAGCGACGTTGTCCTCACCGGGCACTTAGACGCTTCTTGGGTTGACGACCAGGCTACGCAGCGGTCGTCACAGGGTTACACCTTCAGCCTTGGCTCTGGTTCAGTTTCTTGGCGTTCTACACGCTCGTCTTCAGTTCTCAGCCCCAGTTGTGAGGCTGAGATCTACGCCACAGCCATGGCTGCACAGGAGTTACGCTGGCTTACCTACCTGCTGACTGACCTGGGAGAGCGGCCTCGTTCTCCTCCAGTGCTGTACGTTGACAACAAGGCCGCCATTGCCTTGTGTCAGGAGCACAGACTGGAGCACAGAACGAAGCACATCGCTCTGCGTTAATTCCTGGCTCGAGAGTTGCAGCAGCGTGGTCAGCTTCGTCTTGCTCACGTGGCCACTCGGGCCAACACTGCTGATATATTCACCAAGGCACTCCTGAGTCAGCCCCCTGCTCGTGTCGTCTCCTGTCACACCAGACTCTCCTTTGGCACCACCGCCTTGGTCACCCCTCCCTGCCTCGTCTCGAAGGTATGGCCTCCCGTATCCTTGTCACTGGTCTCCCCCGGTCTCTCCCTCCCCTCCCACCGGGGCCTGCCCCTACCTGCGTTCCTTGCGTTGAGGGACGCCAGCACGCCGCTCCTCACTCCTCCGAGTTCCCTCCCTACAGACTCTCCACATGGACGTGTGGGGCCCAGCCCGCGTCCGTGGACAGGGTCACAAGCGTTACTTTCTGCTGGTCGTTGACGACTACTTGCGTTACACCATAGTCTTCCCCTTGCGCCGCAAGGGTGAGGTTAATGAGGTGCTGATCACCTGGATCCGCGCTGCCCGTCGCCAGCTTAGCAAGAGTTTTGACTCGGACCTTCCTGTTCTGCGTCTGCACTCCGACAGAGGTGGAACGTTTTCCTCCGACCTTCTGCGGGCCTTCTGTCGTGCGGAGGGCATCCGCCAGACGTTGACGCTTCCGGCCTCCCCACAGCAAAATGGGATTGCTGAGCGCCGCATTGGCATGGTCATGGACGTCGCTCGTATGTCCATGATCCATGCGACTGCTCCCCATTTTCTGTGGCTGTTCGTGGTCCAGTACGCTGCGCATCAGCTCAACCTCCAGCCCCGTGTCTCCATGCTGGAGACCACACCTGCTCTGCGGTGGACGGGGAAGGTTGGCGATGCGTCTGTGTTGCGTGTCTGGGGATCTCGAGCTTTTGTCCTCGATTTTTCCGCGGACAAGCTGTCCTCCCGTGCTGTTCCCTGCGTCTTCCTTGGTTTCCCCCCTGACGCGCCTGGTTGGCAGTTTTACCACCCCACCTCGCGTCGTGTTCTGTCCTCTCAGGACGTCACGTTTGACGAGTCGGTTCCTTACTACCGTCTCTTCCCCTACCGCACTGCCCCTCTCCCCCCCCCGCCGCTCTTCCTAGCAACAGGTCTTCCTCCAGTAGACCCCCTCCCCCCTCAGGGTCCTGCCCCCTCAGGTGTGTCCCAGGTAGACCCTGTCGAGCCTCTCGAGGTAGCTGTCGACTCTGGTGCTGCTAGGGGTGCTGAGCCTGAGCGTGCGGAGCCTGGGGGTGCTGAGCCTGGGGTTGCTGAGTCTGAGGGTGCGGAGCCTAGGGGTGCTGAGCCTTGGGTTGCTGAGTCTGAGGGTGCGGAGCTTGGGGGTGCTGAGCCTTGGGTTGCTGAGTCTGAGGGTGCGGAGCCTGGGGGTGCTGAGCCTGAGCGAGCGGAGCCTGGGGGTGCTGAGCCTGGAGGTACTATGTCCTCTGGAGGTCCTACGGGTGTCTTGTCTCGGCGGGAGCCACTCTCTCCACCGCAGCTGCGTGAGTGGTTTGCTCGGCGCTGGAGCCGTGCTGCTGGAGCTGGGGGGCCTACCCTTGGAGGTGCTGCTGGTGCCGGAGGTACTGCTGGTGCTGGAGCTGCTAGAGGTGCTGGAGGCGTTGGTCCCGGAGGTGATCGTACTGGAGGTACCGGAGCTGCTGGAGCTGGAGGTGCTACTGGAGCTGGAGGTACTGCTACTGCTAGAGCTGCTGGAGGTACTGGAGCCGCTGGTCCAGGAGGTGCTCGTACTGGAGGTACTGGAGCTGCTAGGGCTGGTGGTACTGCAGGAGTTGGAGCTGGAGGCGCTGGAGCTGTTACTGCTGGAGATGCTGCTGGAGCTGGAGCTGCTGGAGGTGCTGGAGCTGGTGGTGCTACAGGAGTTGGAGCTGGAGACCCTGGGGCTGGGGGTACTGGTGCTGTCTCTGCTGGTTCTGGAGGCGCTGCGCGGCCGCGGCCGTACTTTGTTCCACTCCTTCAGCAGGTTGTTGGTCTCCCGCCTTCTACTGGTCCTAATCCTCCCTTACTGTGTCCACGGCCTGACCAGTCACAGTCGCAGTTACAGCCAGCCTCCCCACTGCCTGGTCCTCCTCCTTACACTGGGCTGACCGGAGGTCTTGCGGAGCGTCGTGAGCCTGAGTCTCGTCCTACGTCGCCTGTTCGCGCTGCTCGCACTGGTTGTCGTGTTCCGCGTCAGCGTCCTCCTCCTGTCCCCGGCACGCACCAAATGGCACTTCGTCCTTCCTCTGTTCCACTGCGTGTCCCTCTGCCGTCTCCTCCTGCGTCCTCCCTTGCTGACGGTCCGGACCCGGAGTCTGACTCCCTTCGTGATGCTAGTCCTACTGTCACGCGTCTCTTGGCCACTGTTGTCACTGACCCTTCGTTTGCGTCTACTGCTGCGTCTGCTCTTGTTGCTGAGCTGGTTGAGTTTGCTGCCGCCTGTCGTCTAGACTACGCCGCTAGTCTTGTTGCTCAGTCTGAGTCTGTCTGTCCTCCGTCCGTCAGGGGTGAGTGTGCTCTTGGCACGGACGTCCTTGAGGACAGGCAGGAGGACTTTGAGTGCTTTGCAGCTGCTGTACCTCATCTCGTGTCCATGCTGATTGCACCTGAGGGAGAACCGGATGCACCAGACATCCCGACCCCGTGCTCTTACGCTGAGGCGATTGCGGGTGAGTACTCCTCTTAGTGGCAGACAGCCATGGACGCAGAGATGGCATCCTGGAAGTCCACACGCACTTACGTTGACGAGGTTCCCCCTCCTGGGGCGAACATCATCAGTGGCATGTGGATTTTCAGGGTGAAGCGGCCGCCATGTTCTCCGCCTGTCTTCAAGGCTCGTTACGTTGCTCGAGGTTTCAGTCAGCGAGAGGGAGTAGACTTCTTTCAGACCTTCTCCCCCACCCCAAAGATGACCACTCTTCGGGTGCTGCTGCACATTGCCGCTCAGCGTGACTACGAGCTTCACTCTCTTGACTTCAGCACAGCCTTCTTACAGGGCAGCCTGCACGAGGAGATCTGGCTGCGCCGCCCTCCTGGCTTCACTGGGTCGTTCCCTTCTGGTACCCAGTGGAGCCTCCGGCGGCCAGTCTACGGTCTCCGCCAGGCACCACGTGAGTGGCACGACACACTGAGGACTACACTTGCGGCTCTTGGGTTTGCTCCGTCGACTGCTGACCCGTCGCTGTTTCTGCGCACCGACACGTCGCTGCTGCCGTTCTACATCCTCGTGTACATCGACGACTTGGTCTTTGCCACTGCTGATACTGAAGCTCTCGCCCTGGTGAAGTCGGAGCTGCAGAAGAGACACACGTGCACAGACCTGGGTGAACTGCGCAGCTACCTTGGCTTGCAGATCACTCGGGACAGAGCACGCCGCACCATCACACTGACTCAGTCACACATGGTGCAGCAGGTCCTTCAGCCCACTATTCCGCTAGAAGCGCCCTCGTGCGCCCCTACCCTACGTGCGCCCTCGTGCGCCTTTCTCTGCTCGTGCGCCTTTGTGCGCCCTCGTGCGCCCTCGTGCGCCCTCGTGCTGTTACGATAAGTACAACCCTAGATATAGCAAACCCTAATCATGCAAGTAAGTAGAAACGTAACACCTAGACTAACCTAAACAACACATATAAAATATATGTTGACACACCCCCATAGTCTAGGTGACGGTAGTCCTGTAGAAACAACAAGAGCAAGCAACGGTCACAAGACCAGTCTACAAGAACAAGACAAATCTCAGGGTGGAGCTCAAAGTCACCACACACTCCGAGAGCAAGCAAGGGGCCACAAGGCCAGTCCACATGCAGGTATATAGCAAATATAAAGAGATGCAAGAGTACAAGACATGCAGAACAAGGCATCTCTAAGCAAGCAAGTGAGGACGGGCAGGCACAAGGCCAAGCTGGGTGCAGAAACGCTGGTGGTCACAAGGCGGCAACGCCTTGGTGAAGATATCTGCCGTGTTTGCCTCAGAGACCACACGTCGAACAAGTGCCTGTCCACGCTGCTGCAACTCACGCAGAAGGAAGTAACGAAGCTGGATGTGCTTCGCCTTCCCAACCAGTCGGGGCTCCTCACACAACAGGACAGCAGACCTGTTGTCGGCGAACAAGACTGGGGGAGAGCGAGGCCGCTCACCAAGGTCGGTGAGAAGGAAAGACAGCCAGCGAAGCTCCTGAGCGGCCATGGCCGCAGCGTACACCTCTGCCTCACAGCTGGAACCGGCGACAGACGACGCCCGAGTCGACCGCCACGAAACAGCACCTGCCCCGAGGCTAAAGGAGTACCCCTGTGTAGACCGACGCGTCTCCGCGTCGTCGGCCCACGACGAGTCCGAGTAACCTGTGAGTGTAACTGGCTGCTTCCCTCCAAGGACAAGTCCCATGCCTGATGTACTCGCCACATACTTCGCCACCCTCTTAGCAGCGTACCAGTGGGAAGGTCGGTGTCTCCCAGGCGCAACAAAGCGCGCAAGGACGCTAAGAGGGTAAGCTAGGTCTGGGCGAGTACAGGTCATCAGGTACATGAGACAACCCACCAGCTCAGGATATGGACCACTGGACTCAAATGACTCGTCCGAAGGTGGAGCCGTGAGCCCATGATCCACACCAAGAGGGGTGAGCTGTACCTTGGAGAACGGGAAGCGAAACCGCGTGAGGATCTGCTCGACCATATGCGACTGAGTCAGCGTAATGGTGCGAGCTGCCCTGTCCCTGGTGATCTGCAGGCCAAGGTAGTGCTGCAGCTCACCAAGGTCAGTGCAAGTGTGTCTCCTCTGCAGTTCCTCCTTCACGGAGGCCAGCGCGCGTCGGTCGGGAGTGGCGAACACTAGGTCGTCGACGTAGACCAGGACAAAGAACGGGGTCGAGCCACGGCGAACGAACAGTGACGGGTCAGCAGACGACGGAAAGAAGTCAAGAGCTGCAAGGGTCGAGCGAAGTGTGTCGTGCCACTCACGTGGGGCCTGACGCAGGCCGTAGACTGGTCGACGCAACTGCCACTGGGTCCCAGGTGGGAAAGAGCCAGTGAAGCCAGGCGAGCAACGCAGCCAGATCTGCTCGTGCAGGCTCCCCTGAAGGATCGCGGTGGAAAAGTCCAAGGAGTGCAACTCGTAGTCGCGCTGGGCTGCAATATGCAGCAACACCCGAAGAGTACTCATCTTCGGGGTGGGAGCGAAGGTCTGGAAGAAGTCCACCCCCTCTCGCTGACTGAAGCCTCTCGCAACATAGCGTGCCTTGAACACAGGTGGTGATCCAGGCGGCCGCTTCACCTTGTAGAGCCATCGGCCACTGACGACATTTGTCCCAAGTGGTGGGACTGCGTCGACGTAAGTGCCTGTGGACCTATAAGATGCCATCTCTGCCTCCTCAGCTGCTATCCAGTACGAAGCCCAGGGTCCCGAGACCGCCTCGGCGTGAGTGCGAGGGATCGGGATGTCAAGGGCGTCTGGATCCCCCTCAGGGGCAAGCAGCATGGCGCAGAGATGAGGAACAGCGGCCGCAAGAAAACCAAGCTCGAACTGCCTGTCCTCTACGACCTCCAGGGGAAAGACAGGAGCACCCCCAGAGGACGGAGAACGTGCAGGGCCACTCACCAAGTGAGCGGCGTAGTCAAGGCGGTGGGAAGAGGCAAAGCCAGAGACAGTGGTAACAAGTGCTGAGACAGACGACAGAGGTGCAGTCGGGTGAGTGACCAACGCGGACAAAACACGGGAGACGACAGGACGGGAGGCACGGAGGTAGTCGGACAACGGGTCGTGAAGCACAGTGAGAGACGACTCAGGGGGCTGTGGAAGGACAGGAGGAGGTGGAACACGAGAGCGGAGAACAAGGTGAAACGGACCGTCTGCACGGTAACGGGACCGACGGGGCTGTGGAGACACAGCACGACTGAGGGGAGGACGACGAGTCCACTGGGAGGAGGAAAGGGACTCAACTGGTGGAACAGGAGGGGACGACAGGGGACCACGAACAAAGCGTGCAGGTGCTGGGTCGGGGAGGTCGCGTAGTCGCAGTCGCTGCTGCTCCGCCTCCTCTGGTGTCTGCTGCGACGGTACCGGCCCCTGCTGCTGCTCCTGTGGCTCCGCCTCTGCCCTCTCCTGCTGCGGCTGCAGCTGTACCCGCTGCTGCGACCGGGACTCCTGCGCTACCCTCTCCTGCTGCTGCCGTGACTCCTCCTCTACTCTCTCCTGCTGCGTCTGGAACTGCACCTGCTGCTGCGGGTGGGACTCCTGCTCTACCCTCTCCTGGTGCGGCCGTGACTGCTCCTCTACTCTCTCCTGCTGTGTCTGTAACTGCACCTGCTGCTGCGGGCGGGACTCCTGCTCTACCCTCTCCTGGTGCGGCTGCAGCTGCACCCGCTGCTGCGACCGGGACTCCTGCGCTACCCTCTCGTGCTGCTGCTGTGACTCCTCCTCTACTCTCTCCTGCTGCTGCTGCTGCTGCTGCTGCTGTGCCCTCTCAAATCGCTCACGCTCCTCCCTCTCCAACCGGAGGAGACGCTGCTCACGGGTCAGGAAACGTACAGTGCGCGGTGTAGGCGCCACAGTGCCAGTGCCTCCAGCTCCAGCACCCCCAGAACCAGCACCTCCACCACCGACACCCCCGGGGCCTCCAGTACCTCCCGCAGGAACACCCCCAGGCTCCGCAGCAACCGACCGTAGAGAAGAAGGAGGAGGAAACTGCGGGACGGACGGGAAGCCAGGGGGTGAGGCAGGGCGAGGCCGCCGAGTCGAGGCTGCCGTGTCCTCCACCGGAGTGACCTCCACGCCCACAACCCCTGCACCCCCAGAGCCGACACCACCAGCTCCTGCAGCCCCAATACCCTCACCCTCCGCAACTGCACCTCCCGCACCCCCAGACACGACAGGGACTGGACGCTGCGGGGGGGAAGACTGCGGAGTGACGTGCGACACACCTGACGGGGCAGGACGCGAAGGGGGGGGGGCTACCGGGGCGACTGGTGGGGGCTCAAGGGTGAGGAACAGCGGGGGGGAAAAGGCCTGAGTACCTCGGTGGGGGCGACTCCTGTAGTAACAGACAGACTCGTCGAACGTGACGTCCTGCGAAGCGAAGAACTAGTAGGTGACCGGGTCGTAGAACACCCAGCCGGAGGCGTCCAAAGGGAAGCCAAGAAAGACGCAGGCACGAGTGCGCGGAGACAACTTGTTCGCGCCAGGGGCGCGAACGTGAGCCAGACAACCCCAGACGCGGAAGTCAGCTGCTACGCCCGGAGAACCTGTCCAAAGGGAGACCGGCGTCACCCTTGGCCGTGCGTCACTGGGCCACAGGTTCAGCTGGTGCGCGGCGTAGCGGACTGCCTGGGGCCACAAGAACTGGGGGGCACCGGCATGGCACATGGAGGTCCGGGCAACCTCCATGACCAGGCCGATGCGTCGCTCGGCTACCCCGTTCTGCTGCGGTGATGCTGGTAGCGTGTAAGACTGGATGATCCCCCGACCCTGACAGAACGTCTCCAGGCGAGTGGAAGAAAACTCACCACCACGGTCCGAGTGTAGGCGAAGCCCACACAGGCCCTGGGCGCCACCCCACGCTAGTAGCCACGGCTCGAGGACGGTAGGCACGTCGGCCTTCCGTCGCAAGGGGAAAACCGTGGTGTAGCGGGAGTAGTCGTCCACCACAATCAGGAAGTAGCGCTCCTGACGTGGGCCAAGGACCGGAGAGGGGCCCCAGACGTCCAAGTGCAGGGTCTCGAAGGGAGCCGTGGTGGGGGGGAACGAGGAGGAGTGAGGGGCAGCGCGCTGCCGACCCTCGACGCAAGGAGTGCACCGCGGCGCAGGAGAGCGGGGAAGCGGTGCAAGCGACCCTGGGAGACCTGAGACCAGACGGTAACGTGCCATCCTACTGAGACGCGGGAACGACGGGTGACCTAGACGGTGGTGCCAGAGGACCGACGGGTGGGTGAGGGACCGACAGTCACACGACACAGCAGCTACCTGACCTGACCTGACCTGACCCGACTCAGTGTGGTGGGACCCAGTGTGTAGTGAGTACAGACCAGATCCCGGCTCTCTGTGGAATGTGGCCAGGGGCGCCCCAGTGGCACCGACAGTGCAGGAGGCAACAGGCTCGTCCAGTGGGAAAGTAGTGACTACGCCTAGGTCGTGAAGGTGACTGACACCCACCAAGTTCCTAGAGAACAAGGGGGTGTAGTAACCTGTAAGAAAACCTGAGGGAGCCGCCGGACACGGAAGAGTGGTGGTGCTGCTAGCAACTACACGTCCCACAGAGGGGTCAGCCAAGGCGACAGTGACTGGAGTGCGCAGTGGTGTGAGGTCGGTACAGTCGCGAAAGAAACAGCTGGACGCTCCAGAATCTAGGGTGAAGGAAAGCTGTGCAGTCTGTGGGGTCGCACCCGAACCAGCTACAAAGGCTAGTGCTAGACTAGTGGTAGCTGCAGCTTCTACACAAAGACCCTCAGAGGCGCCGGGACTGGAAACAACACACGCACCAAGACTGGAAACACAGGTCTCTACTCGTGCAGCCGGAAAGGGTCCTAGACCAGGCAGGTGAGACTCAACTGGTGCAGTAGTGCGCTGGCGAAGGCGCGAAGGCCAGTGCGGTGTAATAGCGTGAGGACCAAAACGCTCACGGTGGAGGTCGTCGAGTCGACGGTAGCAGCTGGACGCAGTGTGGTCAGGACTCCAGCAGGTAGTGCCAGCACCAGGGCCTGTCAGGGCCCGGTACCCGCAAGGGCCGACGTCTCGCCCACTGCTAGCTGAGCCACTGCTGGGGGCGCCACACTTTGGACCCGCAGGCCCCAACTGACGGGAGTGCTGCGGCTGGCCCTGCTGCTGTAGAACCCTAGTACATGCCATGTGAGCCTATGCTGCTACTGGTTCTGCTGAGGGCAGCCTAAGCTGCTGCTGGTTCTGCTGAGAGGCAGCCTAGGCTGCTACTGGTTCTCCAGGGGGCAGCCAATGCTGCTGCTAGTGCGCAGGCAGTTGCCTAAGCTGCTGCTGGTGCGCTGGCGGTAGCCTAAGCTGCTGCTGGTGCGCTGGGGGCAGCCTATGCTGCTGCTGGTTCGCTGGGGGCAGCCTATGCTGCTGCTGGTTCTGCTGGTTCTGCTGGTTCTGCTGGTTCTGCTGGTTCTGCTGGTTCCGCTGGTTCTGCTGGTTCTGCTGGTTCTGCTGGTTCTGCTGGTTTTGCTGGTTCTGCTGGTTCTGCTGGTTCTGCTGGTTCTGCTGGTTCTGCTGGTTCTGCTGGTTCTGCTGGTTCTGCTGGTTCTGCTGGTTCTGCTGGTTCTGCTGGGGGCAGCCTACGTTGCTGCTGGTGCGCTGGGGGCAGCCTATGCTGCTGCTGGTGTAGCTGGCGGCAGTGTAATCGGCTGGGGCTACTGACGGCGGGTGTGGTAGGTCGTGGGGAGGCAGGTTTCAGGTGGGGAAGCTGTTAAGGCAGCGGGCTACGGGTGAGGCGGCGGTTCTGTGCAGTTCTGTGCGGTTATGTGCAGTACTGTGCGGTTCTGTGAGGTTCAATGCGGTGGAGAGGACTGGGTGGGGCAGCTGATTCCGGGTGAGGTGCCTGGAACGGGTGGGGCAGCAGGTTTCCAGGTGGGGCGGCGGTTGGCAGGTCTGGGGCGGTGGTTTTCAGGTGGGGAAGCTGTTAAGGCGGCGGTTCTGTGCGGTTCTGTGCAGTTATGTGCAGTTCTGTGCGGTTCAATGCGGTGGAGAGGACTGGGTGGGGCGGCTGATCCCGGGTGAGGTGCCTGGAACGGGTGGGGCAGCAGGTTTCCAGGTGGGGCGGCGGTTGTCAGGTCTGGGGCGGCGGTTTTCAGGTCTGGGGCGGCGGGTTTCCAGGTCTGGGGGGCGGTTAAGACGGTGGGCTGCACGTGCGCGCGGCCGCGACGTACTAGCGCGAAGCTGCGGGTGCGACTAAGGCTGCGCGCGCAGCTACGCGCGTTCGTCTGCTGCGCGCTAGAGGGCTGGGGGGAAACGCGCGGGGTAAAACGAGTGGGGCGCGGGGCAGAAAACGAGTGACGCACGGCAAAAACGGGTGGGGCGCAGGGCAGAAACGGGTGACGCGCGATGTCGACGGGGGGGCGCGACCTACTCGGGCTCTACGGGGCAGGGCGCTTCGGGCTATGGGTCGCTACGAGGCGCGCGGGTGGTGGGCCCATAGACTATCGAGAGAAATTTCGCCTAAGGGAAAAAAATCGCCTAGGGGAAAAATCGCCTAAGGGAAACCTAGCTCTATACCATGTTACGATAAGAATGAATTGATAGAAAATGTGAAGTACAACCCTAGATATAGCAAACCCTAATCATGCAAGTAAGTAGAAACGTAACACCTAGACTAACCTAAACAACACATATAAAATATATGTTGACACGTGCACCTTTCTTTGCTCGTGCGCCCTCGCGCGCCCCGCCCTTCGGTCTGCCCGAGTGCCGTCCTGTAGCCCTCACGCTGCCTCCTACAAGCTAGTACGGTCCTCGAGCCGCCCCTGCAGGTCCGTCAGGCCCCCGAGCCGCCTCTGCAGACCCGTCAGGCCCCCCCCGAGCCGCCTCTGCAGGCCCGTCAGGCCCGAGAGCCGCCCCTGCAGACCCGTCAGGCCCTCGAGCCGCCCCTGCAGACCCGTCAGGCCCGAGAGCCGCCCCTGCAGACCCGTCAGGCCCGCGCGCAGCCTCTGCCCGACCGCGCGCCGCCCCTGCAGGCTCTCGCCGCCCGCCGCGTCGCCCTGCCCGCGGCGTCGCCGCCTGCCCGCGGCGTCACCATCTGCCCGCGGCGTCGCCACCTGCCCGCCGCGTCGCCCTGCCCG